AGCTGAAATTGAAAATTCAGTCTTGATTTTCAAGGTCTTGCAAAGATCCCATCAAATTCAAGGCCCCAGAGCTCCTATTCCTTAGACATGCAGTTAGTATTACTCCACATATATTTTTTGAGAGCCTTCTCTGGAATAAGCACTGTGCTAAGTACTGGTGAATAAACTAGGTGCAAACTTGGCCCTTGTGGAACTTGCACTCTAGAAGACAGACAATAGGCAGACTCAGGCAAATGCATGTTAAGTGGTTGATAGGACCAGTACTTGGAAGAGGTACTCAGAGCTGTGAGAGTGTGTAACTAGGAGCTCTGTTCTATTCTGGAAAAAGGTATCCCGGGAGAAGTGATGCTTGAGCTGAGATATTCAGGTGGACACTGGACTATTTGGGGGAACAGCTTGAAAAAGAACTTCATAGGCAAAGGGAACAGCAAATTCAAAAGCCCTGAAACAGAAAAGAAAAACATATATGTTTGCAGATACGTTTTATTAGTTAGGAAATCTGAGTTTGTTGTATAGATTTAGGGAAAATACTGTTGATGCAAGAAATAAAATAGTAAACTACAAGGGTTTTAAAATTTGTTTAGATGCAAAATTATCACAAATTTATCACTGACTTATTTACTCACTGAAAATTTTTCAAAAGATCCGGGGTGGCTTTGGAGGAGCTGGGATACTTTTACCAAGAGTAGTCAATAGGAAAGTCCTAGAAAGTTATTTAAGAAAGGAAGAGGTAATGATGGGGTCTAGGTTTGAATATTCTAGGCAAAAAGGATGGGAAAATAGGGTGGGAGCATAGGGAAAGGTAAAGAGGCTGTAACAGTGAGCCAACAAGGCTTGACAGTGGCATGGAAGAGAGGGATGGCGTTGAGAAGACACACAGATACTGTGTATTATGATCCATTCAGCTCCCAGGTGCTCACCTAGTTTCTCCTCCTCTGGGATCCAATCCCTGGGTTTATTCTCTGCCCTCACCCAAGAGGGCAGCCTGGGTTGCTCAGGACCTTGCATTTCTATGCCTTGGGGTTCCTCAACAGCCTCTGCTCCCTGCAGCCCAAGCTGTTCAGCTTGGCTCCCAAGGAGGTCTTTTGCTCCAGTGAGTGGGTCTGAAGAATGACCGGCCTTCACTAATCTGCTCCTGCTCCTGCTTACTGAGGAGGGGACTTGGCAGGGGGTTGCTCTGGTGTGTTCCTCCTGCTTGTGTTAACCGCACAGGCCCCAGCAAGGAGAAAGGCTAAGGGATTACTGCTCCTGGGACTCCCTGCCCCCTCCTTACCCCAAAATAGCTGAAGGAAAAGCTGGATCTTTCTTCTTTCACAGGGAAATAAATTTCTGTATTCACGATCTAGAGAGAATAGCTTTTAAATTTGTCTTTTCTGGTGATAAAAGGAATACAATCCTAGTAGAGAAAACAGGAAGGTATGAGAAGGAAGCCTAGCCAGTTTTCATAATACTACTGTGCATTTTTTTGCACGTTTTCCCAGTCATGTATACTTACTTTTAAACAGTCAAGGTCGGCCACACTGAATATAGCTCTGAGTCTCTTTTCATTTTGTATTAAGCTTTTTGCAGTGTTGCTAAAACCTCTGCATAAACAATTTTAAATCTGAAAAGTAGTCCTTTTAAAAAGAAGCATATTTTACTTAACTTCTTGTTTGCTGGACTTTTGGGTTGGTGTAACTTTTAATCATCGTTAGAACAGCTCTGAGTAACATTTTTGTTTACAAATTTTCCCCTGTGCTTTGGAAGCTCGCCCCACCCATAGCTTTCTAGAAGGGAAATCAATGAGGGAAGTTGTAAAGAGGTCACAAAAGCAAATCTCTAGGAAGGATAATTTGCACCAAAAAGTAGCTGTGCTTCTGTTTGGGAAGATAAAAGATGAACTAGTCTTTCCCCCTTCATAAGGACCTAGTGGCCAAGTGGTGACGAGATGCCTGTATGTCAGGAGTTACTTCTTTTCTCTAGAAATCTTGCTGGATTAGAGGCTTGAGAGGCATCTGGGGCTGTGATTTCATTGGTCTGTCTTCCCTTTGTTGGTGGCAGTGCAGAGGGAATCCTCCCAAGCCTGGGAGCCTAGTTCTGCAGGGCTGCAGTCGAGCCAGCTAAGCAGCCTTGAGCACCTTCATTTCCCTTTCGGGGTCAGTTTTCTCATATGTAAAACAAGGAAGGGAGCAGGAGGAATTGGACTCTGACCAAATGTTGCTATTGTTGTTTAGGCCACAGGGCCCTTACTTCCAGTTAAACCTTTCCAGAAGCCCAAATCTGCAAAACAGGTTGAGGTGCATGGGCCCTGGGAGGGGGAGTGTTCCTGTTTGAACACTTTGGCCTATTGCAGGGAAGCTTCATTCCAGTTCAACTTACTTCTCTATCCCTGCTGCTGAAGTTAAAAAAACATTATCTCCCATCTGGATTTAAATCTTGCAAATGTGCTGATGGGATGAAATATTTTCTCTTCTCAAGGCAATTTGGAAATCAAAGTGCAGCACAAAACTATGGATGTTGAGAGAGGGAGTGCCTAGTTTGTGAGACACGCTGAAAGGGTGACCCTGGCACTTCTAAGAAGGCAGCAGCACAATGGCCTCTCTGAAGAAGCAGTGTCAGAGTTTATTCCCCCGTTGAAATTGTTTATCCTCCTTTGCCTGGAGTCAGTTCAGACCAAACTTAGTCCACAATTGTTAGCAATTGGAGCCCCTGAATCACTTAGGGACAGGTATTTTATTGAAGGTGAAACGCTGTAAAATACATGAATAGAGTGGTGGACGTGACAAGTGCCCTCCAGCTGCTGGGCTTTGCAGCGCTAGGGCCTGCAGAGCCCAGTGAGACTTCAGGACCAGGCCGCCTGCCCCTTTGCTCCAATCATGGTGGCAAGGGTTGAAGCCCAGACTGGCCAAGCCAGGAGGGGCTCGAGGTCTGCAGCGCTGAAATGAGGGGAGCACGGCAAGCTGCAGGCCCAGCCTGAGCACAGCAGGGCCAGGCCCCGGGAGGAGCCGTGGGTGGGGGGCAATGCGTCCACCTCAGTAAATCAACGCGGGCACCCTCCCATTCTGCGCTGGACAGTGGGGGATGGGGCGCAGGGGCTAGGGGGTGGCAGTACTAATATCTTCGGAGGAGGGGTGGTGCTGCCTTCTCTGGGAGACTCGACCTTTCTTGGAGAGGCGGGGTGGGTTTAGTCTCCAGGATCTGCAGTGATGTGTAAAAAGCGGGCACGACCCCCGAAGCCTCAGAAAGCCCCCGCCCCTCCCCCTCAGGCCCGCCCCAGCCTGCAGGTGAATGGCTAGCCTGCACAAAGGGAGCTGGCTGGAAATGTGGAATTTGGACCAATTTACGGGAGACCTTCTCCTAGGGACCCAACAGACCTTCAAGCAAAGAAACCTGTGGTCAGGAGTGGGTGAGCATAAAACAGTACACTAGGCCAGAGCTTATTGGAAAGGCCCAGTTTAGTTATTCTGGGATAGCGAGGTAACAGGATTAAAGGGATTAAGGAAATCACCTCAAACAGCTGAGGAGGGGGTAAAAAAACACTGGTTCTATTTGTTTTTTTCCTAGGCCCCAAATAGATACGCTGGGGCCGCGTGGTCGATCGGGCGCGAAAGGAAAGCCTCTTCGGGGGCACAGTGGAACTGCCAAGGGTCAGGGACCGCGGGAAAGCGGGGTGAACGGAGCAGAGAGCTGGCCAAGCCTCGGCAGCAGAGGGAACCTCTTGGAGAAAACAAGTGCACTTCGCTGACAAGTTAAAAACAAGAAGCCAAGGGAGGAGTCTCAGAACGCCCTCCAACCTAACCCGGACTTTTCCCAACCAAATCTTGCAACGCTGAGCGCTCATTGTGCCGCTTCTGCTGCGACCGTTGCACTGTATTCATTTCCTGCCGGGGACGCCCGTAGCCATTTATTTTAACAGGACCATTGAGACCTCCGAAGGGTTTTCGTTTTGTAAATATTTCAGGTGGGCTCAAGTGTCTTCCCGCCCCAGTGCACAAAGGTAAATGTGCTCGATTTCCGCGGCCCGCCGGGGTCGCATTGCCGCCTTTCGCGGCTGAACAGCCACCACTCCTTCCCGGGACGCGCACCGCGATCAACAAGTGCGTGACCGCGCACGGGCCGTGAGTCCCCGCCAGCGTGTGCCAGCTCTCAGGGGACGCTCTCCGAAGCCAGACCGTTTCACCGGTCCAGACCATTTCTCGCTGGACAGTTCTGGGAGCTGGCGTCTACCTCGGGTTGCCAGCAGTTTAAAACAGAAAACCATTTCATTTCAGATCACCCTCGCTTCCCCCACCCCCAAGCCCCACCTTTCTATCTTTCTCCGGATAGAGAAAGAACCTCGGTTATAAAACCGCGCGTTGTTCCCATCCCCAAACCACACCGAAAGTTTTGGACCCGCACAATTATCAGGACTCCATCTTGTTGGTTATAAAATTTATTGACCTCTCACTTTAAAGAGTAAAATCTTGAAAAACCTGAAACAAAACAACCCCTTCCCCACCACCCAAACGAAATCTGAACATATTAGCGTGACGAAATACCAAACAAATCACGGCAGAAAATCACCAACTCAACAGCCTAAGAAGCTGAACGGACAGAAGCTGTCCCGCGGCCAGGGGCGGCGAGGCGAGGCGGGAGACACGCGCACACCTGGCTATAAATTAACATTGGCTTTAGCTGCCGCGCCACTCGGCGCGGTCAGCCCCCCAAAACACCACGAGGAAAACAGATGCAACGCGACTGGGGGCGGGGGCGTCGCAGTTCTCAGGCCAGCGTCACCCGAGAGTCTATTTGTCCCATTCGCTTACTCCTCCATTAATAACAAACTAAGAGACAACATTTTCAAACGCAACCGGGGAACCGGGAGGAGGAGGAGGGAGCTGCTTTTTCTTTGCAAACGGCGCAGTGAGTCCAAGCCTACAAAGGGAGAGGGAGGGGCAGCGGCGAGGGGCAGGCAGTTCTAGAAAGTCCCATTTCCGCTGCTCCGGACTTCTTGGCTTTTTGTACAAAACCCGACAGTCACCGCAAAAGTTTTGTGTGTCCTCTCCATCTCCGGTCCAAGGCAACAACAGTCCCAGGCAAGCAAAAGCTAAACAACAAGGCGTCCCAACTTGGGGGTGCGGGGCGGGGTGGGGGCGGAGGCGGCGCGCGAGCGCGGGCCGCGGGGCTCAGATGTGGGTGAGCGGCACCGTTCCGTTGACCGCAGTCCCGGCGCCCTGGTAGTGCTGGTGCACGCCGTGCAGGCGGCTGCCGGGCAGCGGAGAGGCGGCGTCGGCCGCGTCGCCCCCGGGCGGCAGGTACATGCTGATCATGTCGCGCAGGTCGCCGAGGCACGCGCGCTGCGAGTGCGACGCGATGGCGGGTGGTGGCGAGCTGGGCTCCGACTTCACCACCGAGCCCATGGGGCCCAGGCTCATGGCGGCGGCCGCGGCCGCGGCTGCGGCGGCGGTGGCGGGCTGCTGCCCGTAGGCGGCGGCCGCGGCGGCGGCGGCGGAGGGCGCCATGCCCCCGTAGCCCGAGGCGGCGGCGGCGGCGGCCGCGGCGTTCATGTAGCTCTGAGCGCCGGGCGGCATCATGGGGCCGTACTGCAGGCCGGCCATGTCGTAGCGGTGCATCTGCGGCAGTGCGGGCGGCGGCGGCGGGCTGCTCATGCTCGGGGGCTGCGCGTAGCCCAGCTGCTCCTGCACCAGCGAGTACGCGCCGTTGGCCCAGCCGTTCACGTGCGTGTACGTGTCCAGGCGCTGGCCCACGCCCACTGGGCTGCTGGCGGCGGCGGCCGCGGCTGCTGCTGCGGCGGCGGCAGCTGCGCCGGGGGGTAGCAGGCCCCCGGGCAGCGAGTACTTGTCCTTCTTGAGCAGCGTCTTAGTCTTGCGGCGCGGCCGATACTTGTAGTCCGGGTACTCCTTCATGTGCACGGCGCGCAGCCGCTTGGCCTCGTCGATGAACGGCCGCTTCTCGGCGTCGGTCAGCAGTTTCCAGTCGGCGCCCAAACGTTTGCTGATCTCCGAGTTGTGCATCTTGGGGTTCTCCAAGGCCATCTTGCGCCGCTGCCCGCGGGACCAAACCATGAAGGCGTTCATGGGTCGCTTCACCCGGTCCTGATCGCTGCCCCCGCCGCCGCCGCCGCTGGTGCTGCTCGTGCCGCCGCCGCCGCCGCCGCCTGCGTTCGCGCCGCTGGCTGCGTTCGAGCCGCTCTTGCCTGAGGCGCCGGGGGCTGCCGGGCCCCCGGTGCCGGCTGCTGGGGTGGGCGGCCCCACCTGGTTCTTGAGCTCCGTCTCCAGCAAGCTGTACATCGCCGGGGCGGGAAGAAGGTGCGCCAGCGTGGCGGGAGGAGAAGGCGCTCCCGGGGCTGGAGCGGCCACGGTGAAAAGGCCCGGGGACTCCGTCGGAGGGGCGCTGGGGGGCCGGCAGGCCGGCTGGTCGGGCGAGAAGGGCAGGCTTGCCGGAGCGCTCTGCTCCGAGTCAGCGGGAACCCGCAGGCTGATCGCACCTGATGCGTTATCTCGAGCCGGTCGCATTCGCAGGCTGGCCGGGCGCTTGCCAGGCCCCTTTATATACCTGCTCGATCCCCGGGGGTTGGGGCTCGGTCCGCCCCTCGCCACCCGCAGGCCTCGTGATTGACAGGCTAGCAGTGATGAGTCCTGGCCAATCATCGCCGAGCCCCCGTTTGACCTAGCTGGAAAGAAAAAGTTCGGGGAGCCCTTTCGTTCATCCCCCTCACGCCCCTCTAGGCCCGAGTGACGCGATCAGAATTATCCAGAAGGCGGGAGTCCTGGAGACTCACTCAGACCACCAGTTAGGGTCTCAAAAAGTTAGAGAGAAGCAAACTCCAGGAGATGGGAGGGGGGAGCACGCCGGCAGCATTTGGGGGGAGGGGCAGTGGCCAAGAGGTTCAGAAAACTACTTCGCAACCCTGTCAAGGCCAACTGAAGCCCCATTCCTGGGCCCACGTGCAAAGTTACCACGGAGTCCCCCACGGAGTACTTCCCACTGCTTCTGCTGCCAGCGCTGGGAACATTGGGCACCTCCAACTACCCGAGCTGGCTGGGGGAACTCAAAGAGCAATGGAGGTGCCGCAGGCTGTGCCCCGGAGAATCCCTCCCTGGAACGTGCCGCGGGCTTCCCACATCCTCCGCCGCCGGGAGGATCACAGCGAGCTGGACAGAGCGGGAGTCACAGGGTGCTGCACGAGAGACGGGCTTCAGGACCGCGGAGCGGAACGGGCGGGCTGCGAGCCTCTCCCAGGGCTTGCAAGAGAGTGAGCAACCCGCTGCCCGCCGCCCGCCGCCCGAGCCTGGAGTCTGCGCCTGGCGGAAGCGCTCGCTTGCTCGCGGCGCGGTGCGCGGGGAGTAGGTGCGGGACCGAGGGAATGAACCGGCTTCCGCTCTCTCGCTCTCGGCCCCCGCTTAGCGGCCCCTTTTTGTCTCTGCTCTCTGGCCATTTCGGTTTTTCCAGTCCGATGCCCCTGAGGGGGAGGGTCGGGCCCCTTGGAAAATCCGTTTTCATGGCAACACGGAGCCTCTGTGAGTGAAAGAAAAGTTTCTTGGAGGGAGGACGGTGACCGGAGCCTAGCAGAGTCCCAGCCGTCCTGCGGCAGGACCGCCGCGCCCCCTGCGCGGGCCGCGCACCTGCCGGGACTGCCGGGTCCGCACGCAGCCGCGCCGCCTCCCCTGGGAGCGGCCGCTGCTAACGGATTCTGTGCTCCTTGTTTCTTGTGTCCCAGCCTTACTGGCTGGAGCTACGGAGACTTGGAGCAGAACATCGGGCCGCTTGTCGGGTTGTCTGTTGCAGATGAGAGACACCCAAATCCCGGCTTCGGGGCGGGGTGGGGTGGGGAGAGGGAACCCTGACAATCGCAGCCTCGGCCAGCTCAGATGTGTAGCACAGTATTTGAAACTCGCGGAGCCGCCCGAGGCTGCAAATGGGAATGAGATGTCTCCCGGACAGCCGTAGCAGAAACTGAAATAAGGTGTCACTCAGTTTGGGGACTCGCCTTCCCTCTTTACCCCGTGGAAACGTGGAGAACCAAAAGGAAACATGGATCCTACATGTCTGTGGGGGAGAGGGTGCGGGCTTCCAGCTTTTTAGCTTTACTGCAAGATCTAGCGATCTCCAGACGCCTGTACACCAGGCTCTTCCCTCTTTCTTTCTGGCACTAATTAAAAAATGAGCCGCCGAGGGCGCAGATCTGCCCAGTCCCCTCTCAGCAAGGCGGATGGCCCTCAGCTCGCATCACCTTCCAGAAGTTGGGTTCTGAAACCGACTCCCTAAGTTTGCTTTCTACGTGGGCTGACTTCTGCAGTCAAGGGTAGCGATCAGTTGAGTGGGTGTACGGAGTTAGGGTTTTAAAGTAAACAGTCTGCAAAGTTTCTGGTATGGGGAGGAACGTGAGTGTTGTGTTCCTACATGCACACAGGACGATCCTCACCTGCATCTGTGTTCTTGGCAACTTGGCTGACAAAGTGAATTTTGTTTTTCTGAGGCAAATCCACGGTCTCTTGAAGCCACCGTGCAATGGTTCCTGCCCTCCTGTCGCCTTCCCTCCGAGCCCTCTTTGCTTTTCTGGTCCCCCGAGGCTGTTGCTAAGAGCGTTTTTAGGAAACTACCCAACCGACGCGCGGCCTGGCGTCCAGTAGCCTGACAGATGTCAGGATTCTTTCCAAGTTTTAGGGCCCAAATAAGCCGTTGTTAGTGACGGCGCCTGCATCGCATCTTTTCCAAGGCGGAGCATGCTGGACTAGTAGTCCCTGCTCCTCCCCCAAATCGCTGATCCCGCCTGGCTGTCACTTGATTACACCCAGTCCAGGGCTTAGGCTTCCTTGAGCTCATTTTCACATTCATTCTCTTGCCCGATTCACAAAGGTCTTTTGACAGGACCGGGTACCCTCTCTGGCTCCTTCAGCTTCCCGTGGTGGCTGTCATTAAACCGATCTTCGCGACAGGTGACTCTGGGGGTAGTCTGCGCGACCCTAATTGCCAAGCTGAATTTCCTTCCACACTTCCGAAGAAACTTTTTGAGCCCCGGCTCCCCTTCAGTAGACGAGCAAGATTAGCCTGGTGGGCGTGGGGAGATGAAGAAGGATGGGAACAATCGGTTCTCTTGGCCCACCCAGCTGTGAAGAATCAGGCACTAGCTCAGCCCTGCGACTATCGCGGAACGTCTGGAAAAATGTCGCGGCAGGTCTTATAGTCCAAGTGGCCTTGGTTTTGGAGACGACTTCGGGGAGGGAGGCCGGACAGCTGGCGAGGCATGAACTGAAGTTGTCTTCGACGTGCACCCCGCACCCATCAAGGAAAGCAGAACGCTGAAAGACCCAGGACCGGTCTTTTGCAAACTCTTGGGGAGAAGAGGAAGCCCTCAGTACTACTCTCTCTCTCCGAGCTTGCAGGAACCCGTGGGCAGCACGCCGAACCCTGGATCTGAGCCTAGGAACACAGCCTATCGACCCCTCCCTATCCCTGTCTTCTGAGTTCCCAAGAGAGCTAAATCTCCCATCTGGGCCGGGTGTGGGGCTTCCAGGACGCAGGGCGCGACAATAGCGCCGTTTGTTGGCTTCAGTTGGAAACTTCACCCAGAGTCTCCCCCCTTTATCACCCTCGTGGGCTCCCAGGTCACCCCGACCCTAAAAGGAAAGCCAACCAGCTTGAATGCCAGGCAAAAGTGGTGCCTCGCTTTGACAGGCGAGTTATCCCCAAATTCCGGACATCTCGACGTTAAGGAGACTGGACCAGGTGACTGTGAATATACTGGGGACCAGTTCTGCCTTATGTTCACACTATAAAACTTGGCAGAAATCAATAGGCGTTCTAATGGCCTCATATCCGCAAAGTATGCTTTAGGCAGTTATGCCTTGGGACTACTGCCAGGGGCTTCCCTGTACTGTTTCTTTTTCAGGAGCAGCTACTGGGAGAATATTCTTTGGGTCCCCAACCGGGTTAGGACAATCTCCTAGCAGACAGTGCCTTCTGCATGCTGGGTGATTAGAGGCAGATTGTGTAGGTGCCCCCTGAGGGAGTGGAGAAAATGGGCAGTATTGGAGTTTGCCTAGGCCGGCTGAGATCAGCAAGGGTGGCCCCCCAGCAAGCTTAGAGTTCCCCTTTTATGTTTCTTAACTGCATTCTAGTCTAGTCGCTAGAGCCACCTTTCAGAAATCCAGAGTAATTATCTTGGAGATTCTCAGAGTCCCTCTGCTTTGAGGCAGACAAAACAAAGTTTCTGGTTCTAAAGGCAGTCATTCTTCTTTTTTCCTTGAGAGCATGCTTTGTCTATTTACTTGCTTACCCAAGACTGTGTATTTATTCCACATCCAGGGCCTTGAGCAACAAATCAGAGGCATGGGTCTATTGTAGAGCCATATTTTGGAAACTTGAAAAGTTCATTATTACTCCAACTGAGTGAAAGAGACAGAAACTTGCAGTGTGCTGCAGTATTGTTTAGAAACTCCATGCACTCTTCATCCAGTTAACCTGAAGCACCTTCCCCCAGTCAACCTGAAGCACCTTCCCCCAGATTCCAAAGGAAACCATTTTTCTTTCAGGTCTAAGGAGCTGAAGGCCCTCGGTTGGTCCTATAGGTCTATAAACAATAAAAAATAAATAAGTAAAAGAGCACTGTAGTAGGTTGAGGTAGGAAGATCATGAGTTCAAGCCCAGCCAGACAATTTTGAGACTTAGTCCTGTCTCAGACATTAAAAATTTAAAAGGGACTGGGGGGTGTAGGTTAGTGCAAAGTCCCTGCGTTCAGTCTTCAGTGAAGAAAGGGCGGTGGTGGGGAAAGGGACAGGGACGTGGCTAGGAGCTTGGAGAAGGCTATGGCACCACAGGAACATTCTGCAGATAGTGCAGCAGTGTTCCTTTATGCCATTGTGCAGCTCCTGTGGGAGAGGGGGAGGGGCATTTTAAAAAGTGAGTTTCTGAGTTCATCCACTTGGTTAGCTAAGCTGTGGTTTGCAGACACGCGGGTCTCCCTGGCCCACATCTTCGCACACAGTTGTAGACAGCTTCTGCCTACAAGGTATTAAGATACTAATCACTTTTTTCCGTTGGGGGGAGGGCGCGGCAACTGACAGTAATTAGACCACCTTGACCTAAAGGGAGTCCTCCTCAATGTCACCACCAGAACACAGCCTCCTCCCCATGGAAGGAAGGCTCTGCCCAGGAACTGGATCCCATTTCCAGAGGGCCTTCCCAGCCACCAGTGCTGCCCGCTTTACCTCCCCGCCCACGCTTCCATCCAACCCCATAACTTTCATCAAGCGCTCAGAACCCACAAACCTCGCTCCTGCGGGGAGCCGACCCCTCCGGAAGCAGCACCCTGGCCCTAGGCCTGCCCTCCTGCTCTCCCGGCCTCTTTTTGCATTGCCTCCCACACGGGCCAAGCGAGAGAACCTATAGGAAGTTGGGGTTCCGAAAAGCATATTAAAATCGTTATCAGTGTGTAAAGCTGAGTTGCTCCACGGCTTCATAATTTACACAAGTGAGCACAAGGCCATTAGGTCTGACAACCCCTCAGAGAAGGGTGTCTGGAAACTCAGTGTACCCTCACACACTTTCAGGGTGCCAGGCTGGACATCTGCCCAGGCCGCGGGCTGCGCAGGACGTTGCTTGGGGGTAACCAGCACAGCATCCTGCAGAAAATGCAAAATATGGAGTCAGCATCCAGCTCTTCGCTTTCCCTTCTTTCTTAAATTTTTTCTTTTTATTTATCT